CAAACAAACCAGATTCACTGTCACTGATTAACACCTATGCATTGCAGAAAGAGTATCACCAGTGCTGCTTGTCGGTCACTTACTGATCCAACTTCTCAGACAGGAAGAGGATGTGTTCCTGCATCCTGCGTAGACGGATTTCACTGCGCACCTCTCTGGCCATGGGGTGACAGCACCGCGTGTAATGGCCTCTCCACCAGGACTGTATTTTAATTGCAGCTCTGTCTGCTTCTGTCGCACTTGATTTACTCTCAACTTCTTCCTGCTTCTGAGCTTCTTTCACCTCAGCTTTAACAAAATCACTATCTAGGTCATTCTGTAGAGTGCTAACTCTGACTCCTAGCAATCCACTAGATGTTGAATCTGTAGCAGAAATAACTTCTTCTCCTTCAAGCGTCTTTCTCTCGTGCTGCTCTACTGTGGGTGGATGCTGTGGATTGTTGGTGTTTTGCTTTTTGGACTGCGCTGGGTGCTTTGGTGCCAGGGAATCTGGCTCGAATGTCTCTGTCTCGTCCTCGCTGTCAGAGTGGGTCAATCGTGGCTCCAGATCAGATGTGAAGGGGATGAAGGTGGACTCTGAGGAAAGCATGCTACTGTTGAGTTTGTCCTCACCTGTCTGCACATCCTCCAAATAAATTTGTTCCTCGCTGAGCCTTGGGCGACATACTATGGGCAGTGACGGATTGGAAGAGTCAGAGCTCACCCAGGTGTTAAACCGAACAACTGGCTCTACGGGAGAGCAGACAAATCAACGATTAGTACTACAACCTAATTCAAATACATGATTCTCACTGGTCTTGGACCAGGGTGCCAGGCAGGCAGCCCTCTTACCTGTCTGCGGGACTGATGGAACAGCTGGTCCAGGCACAGTGATATTCTTCAACTCTCTGGCTCCCCCTTGTGGAACTCTATGTGACGGACTGTGACTCTCCACATCAAGGTGAGTTGGTCGAGGAGGACTGCGACAGCCTCCCCGGGTCTCCTCCAGCAGTTGTCTCTGATGAAACCTGAGACAGTTATGAAGGATTAAGAATGATGTGTGCTACCATGACCAAGAAGTGGATACTGGGTAATGATTTTTTTTCCCTTGCAGTTTATCTATATTAAGATTTCAACCTCTGTTTACTGAGAATCTTCTCCAATTTGGCATCCTCAGCTGTCTCCAGGGCAGGTGATGCCGTCACAGGGCAGACAGTGGCCAGGTACTGAACCAGTTGAATGTGCTGCCCTGGTCGATATGAGCGACCTTTGCCCTGACTGTAGAGCCACTCAGCTTTCAGACTGTAAATTTAACAATAACACACAGCAAAAAAGACAAAAAAAAAAGACACTCAGGCATTCTGATACTTTTGTACTGATGATATTTAGCACGAGAATATACACACCCCTCTTTCTGTGTCACTACATAGCCATCCAGGACCTTCAGGCTCAGGCACCAACTCATGACATATGGCCGATAGTCGAAACCAGGCAGAGATGGGGTCACCATAACACAAGGGTTGCTCATGATGGACAGCTGCTCCAGCTCATGAAGTGGCGCCAGGTATGACATCTGGAGTAATCAGTTTATAGTCAGTCATAGTAATATTAGGTAATTTTAATATAACCAGTGTGACTGTATTAAATAAGGGAGAACATAATTACTTCATTAAGATCCCTAATCTCATTTTCTGCCAGGGAGAGAATAGATAATTGGGCAGGAAGGTGAGCGGGGACAGTTCGGAGTGTTGTGATGCTGTTTCCGTGAAGTAACAGAGTCTGCAACATTGACAGAAAATGATGCCGTCAAGAAAATCAACAATACCATTAATATAGGGCTAGTCTGAGCATATATTTAGAGGTCTCAGCACACTGACCTTTAGTGCCACCAGTTTGGTCAGATCACCAATGGCAGATATGTTATTGTCAGACAGATCCAAGTGTTGAAGAGAGACACAGTTGTTAAGTTGCTCAATGACCTGTGTGAAAGATTGCACAGTGGATTAAATATTTGTCATTACACATGGACTGAATTTGCTGTCAGTAAATTACAGGATCTGTGTAAAGGATGTTAAAATATCTCATGTCCTCACCTTAATATTGTTGCCAGAGAGGTTGAGCCACTTTAGGTGAGGCAGATCTCTCAGCCCCTCAATGTAGCCTATACTGTTATTGGGAAGATTTAGGACTCTCAACTCTGTCAGCCGAGACACACCCATCATTCTCACCAGACGATTACTGGCTACAGACAGCTAAAGAAGGAAAAGAAAGAAAAGACATCAAATCATGAACTGGTGTGTGGTATCTGGACTCTAATGGCTGGGGAGATTATGTAGAAATTTTTAAACTAAAGGGTTTGTTACCTGCTGAAGGCCTGGATTCCTTTCTAGGTGGTCCAGCTTCATGATGTTGTTCCCGTCCAGGATGAGAGTGTGAGTGTCTTCTGAGCAGGTGAAACTGGGCTCCAACTTCTGCATACCTCGGGCTGAAAGATCCACCACAGGTCCTGGCAGGATAAAGAGATTCAGCAGACTTAAAAAGCACAATGTGGGTCTTGGTTTTCCATAAAGATATCTTGTGAAATCAGTCATGCACATTAAGTATATCTCATAAGTCAACAGCATTAGGCTTATCTTGAACCTGAACCTTTTTCCCAAATCACAAATTTTGGTCAGTTTTTGTAGGCTATCCCTCTTGTACTCTACTAGAGGGTGGTGATGGGTTAATTATGGGCTACCCAGACTACTATAATAGCTTATGAATGGGTATAGAACTGTAACAACTAGCAACCTACCATGCAAAAAAAATAAAATAAAAATCTTAGTTACAGTTTCTGGCAAGTCCCCTGAATTAGTTTACATAATCTTCTATTGATCACTGTCATTTGAAGGCTAAGAAGGTCAAGAAATCAAGCCTCTGCCCAGTGTGCCTGTCTGTCAACACCTGCAGAACCTAAATTTGTCCCAGACAACCTGGTTTCATGTTTAAGGTTTCGGAAAACTTTGCTAAAACTTAATTTACAAATATGCCAGAAAAGGACTGACGCGTGATGTTTTAATGCTCATGAAAGGTGAACTAGCTAACGACAGCACTCTGTAGTGTTCTCCCGTTAACCTCCGCCGGTGAGAAACATCTTCCTATGGGCTACCTTTCAAAGGAATATTAATATGTTTGACTAAAATAGATGACCGACTACTTACCAGCATTTCTATCAAACTGTAAATCTGATACACCCATCCTATCGACCCAGACCACAGCTAGCGTTAGCTGTAGTAGGAAAGACAAGAAGCGTCTGTGTGTTGTCAAACTGCGTAATCGAGGGGCTTTGGGATTTGTAGTTCATAAAGGATGTCTCGCCCCTTGCAACGTTGCGTCTATGGAAGTCGAAAAGACTACAATTATCCTACAGCGCGCTAAGGTTGCTGAAACGCGCCAGCCAGATTTAAGCAAAGAATAAAGAAGGGAAACATTAACGTTAATAGGAAAAATGCGTCTGAAGTGACCATAGTTATCTCATATTTCATTTTAGAGTGTTTAATACATTGCTGTTCTGTATTATTAAGCCAAGAGCAGCTAGCTAATTGCTTGCTAGGCAACCGTCTAAATGTGACGTCACCATTGTGCTGCTGGTCAATGTATAAATTTGACTAATATAGTTTTATAATAGAAAAAAATATATCGTATAGGTTCACTGATTTTAAAGCATTACTGAAACATTAACGGTCAGAATTTTTAAATTTGTTCACAAATATCAATCTCGTGGTCAGTATATTCCGTTTCCGCATCCGTCATCTTTCTTTCCGGTTTTGTGCCCTCTCGTAGCCATCATGAAGTGAGTGTATGCAATGCTATCAAATGCCATCTCAGTATTTAAATAAATATTTTAAGGATGATAAGTACATTGAAAGAAACTATGTACGGTTCTCTTTCGCTGATGATCTGTATTTGTCGTTTTCAGGGTCGAGTTGTGCAGTTTCAGCGGGTATAAAATATACCCCGGCCATGGCCGCCGATACGCCAGGATAGACGGGAAGGTAACTAGCTGGCAAAGTCCGACACCGGTTTCTTCTCGCTCTGTCCCAAAACTATTTTATGAAGATCACTTTACCGGCTCAGCATTAAATATCCCCTGTGAATGTGATTTAAAATTTGTCTATTGAAAGACACACTCACAACGGGCCCAATTGAGTCCTGTATAACCCGCTAATGTTAGCAGCTAAACGATAGCATTTTTAGGTTCAGCCACACGGGTGTATTTGACTGCGATAGTATTATGATAGATAACAGTCATAGAGACCTATAGGCTCTGTTGACTGTGACTTGTTCTGAAAAGAGCCTACAGGGGTTTTAGATAAAGTGTCATTTATTTGTGTAAGTACATCTAGGAGAAAACAAGATGCATAAGTATGTAGCTTCACTCAAAATGTGGCTCTGTCCTGAGCTGTTGCCTACTACTTATAATTAATGCAGTTAAATTTCGTTATGTATCAAGTTTATGATACTTGTGAACAGTTCCACAATGCAAGGTGTGCTTTAGATTCAGTTTTGTCACATATGACAGACTGCTGTCAGCATCCAAAGTCAGTTTGTAGCTCAGGTGGATAGTACAGGGTGTAATTGTCGTAATTAAAGGCAGACATGAGTAACATTCGGTTATTTAATTATTTATTTTTGTCTTTGTTAGGTGTTCCAGTTTTTGAATGCCAAGTGCGAGTCTGCCTTCCTGGCCAAGAGGAACCCCAGACAGATCAACTGGACTGTGCTGTACAGACGCAAGCACAAGAAGGGCCAGTCTGTAAGTACAATCCTGTATATGAGTTCATCATTTATATTTGTTTACAAGGAGGCTGAAGTGAAAATGTAGCTATTTTTCCATGGCAGACAGACTTTGTGGGTCCAGCAGTTAATTGCTGTGTTGATACTGGTCATTTGTGAAACAGATAAACTAATCTTAGCTATTAGATATAAAAGAAGATCGTCACATTTACTCAAGCTCCAATTTATACATCAGACTGGCTGCGGGTGGATGGTGTGCACGGTGTTGGTCCGTGTTACGTGTTGTTGCTCAACTGTGTTTTGCAGACTGAGCAGCAGCGCTCACTCCACACCTGCAGCCACAGAATATCTGGAGATCATAGTACTGGCCTTTGACGTCTTTGCAGACATATTCTCATCGGTCAGCCTCCAAACTCTCCAACATGCTGACAGTTGCTACCTGTGGATGGATTGTGTGTAGTCCTGTTAAAGTAGTTCAAGGATTTGGTGTTGGCTTTGTGAAATTTAAAGGCAAACATAAGAAATGTCTTTTGTTTACAATATGCTGAGTTATTAAAACTTCTGTTACTCACCATTGCTGTAGCATGACAATGTATTTTACTCAATTTATCTCAGGAGTTTAGATTTTCATGGTTACAGCTGTTGACTGTTACGGTTCCTATGGATGGTGATGCATCAGAAAACACGCAAAACTGACTTGTTGGATGGCTAGACACATGCTTTAATACTGATTTTGCCATGCCTTAGATGGCAGTTTGAGAAAATTGGTTAATAACTGTTCATTTATGACTGCAACCACCCCTTTGGAGGTGTTGACTAGAGTAAATATGTAGACACATTTCCTTTCAGATAGATTAGCCACTCATTTCTTTGTGATTAACAGGTTTGTCTTCTATTCTTCATGTGAACATGAAAAACCATTATTTTTTTTTAAGTAAACCAATGTATTTTTTTATTTTTTTATTTTTTTAACAGGAAGAGGTGGCAAAGAAGCGTACCCGCCGTGCAGTGAAATTCACGAGGGCCATCACTGGCGCCTCCCTGGCTGAGATCATGGCCAAGAGGAACCAGAAGCCCGAGGTCCGCAAGGCCCAGAGGGAGCAGGCCATCAGGTAAGAGGACAAAGTACCCTGTGTACCTCTCTTTTTTTTCTTTTCTTTTTTTGGTCTTTTTTTTTTTAGTCTTGTGATCTTGAAGGTGATAAAATTGTGTCAGAGTATTATTCGGAATAAAGAAGGGTTGGATTAGAATCCAGTGTAGACGATATTGGCCGACTTGCCCAGAGGTTGCATTGGGCATTTTATTGGTTTCATATTTTTAAGAATGAGATTTAATTGTGTTAGTTTTCATTAAAAAAAAACTAGAATTTAATAAAACAGGAGTGCCTTTATGAGGGCATTGAGGGAGAAACGCTGACTGCAGGGACTTTTCATAGTAACACAGCAAGAAACAAATGATTTTCTTTGTTTCCCCCTGCAGGCTTAGCTGATACACAAACACAGCAGTCAAATATAATCTGAGTGAACATTAATCTGGGGCTTGCTTCAGCATAATTAAAATAAAGTGAATTACAGGGTGTTGCAGCACTTCCTGATTTAATTCTATTCTGCAGACTGAGCCCACTCTGCTGCTACACTAGACACTGAAATTCCTGATATTCATTACTTCAGGATTAGTTTTATCATCAAAGAGCACATCTAACATTACTGAGTGATATTAGCAAAAGTCTCTGAATGCTTCTGGTCCTTTAAACACTCACCGAACAGTCAGAAAACCCCCAATATGAACTCCTGCATGAGAGAACAGCTGCACCTATGAACCTGAACTGATCACAAACATGCTGTATTTAAGCTTAATGTTATTAAAAACAAGAAAATACTGATGCTGCCACCATCTTTAGATTGTTTTTTTTAAAGTTGTTGGTATTCTAGTCCAAGAAAATGAGGAAGTCTTTAGAGTTGCAACACTTAATCATTCATTGGAAATATTCAGTAAAAACAGCTTCTGATCAGCCTGTCAGTGTAATCAGTCACTGTAAATAATTACTACAGTGAACACTTTAATAGTACTTCAAGTTCACTTTGTTATTCCAGTCATAATAAAATACGATTATAAAGCATGTTTCTCACAGTGAGTGGCGCAAAAAGGGCTGAGGTCATGAGGAGCAACCAATGCTCAAGTTAAAAATAAAGTATTCAAATACATACATTAAAAAATTATATAAAGAAATTGTTGTTGTTTTTAATTTTTTTGGTCACTTTGATTGGTTTGGACTAAATTTGGTTCTCTTTGTTCTGTCAGAGCTGCCAAGGAGGCCAAGAAGGCAAAGCAGGCTGCCAAGAAGCCCGCTGCAGCACCTGCAAAGGTAAGAGCCAGTGCTCTGTGTTGAAGTTATTCAATAAGATGTCAAAACAAGTTTTTAGTTTCCCCACTGCATGCTCTTCAGGCTTCACTCGATTATTCAGCAACTTAATTCAAAGTTTTTCTTTGTGCAAGAACTTAGTTGATTTTCTTCTCCTGTAGGCCGCTGCCAAGGCTGCACAGAAACCCAAGATCGCCAAGCCCATGAAGGTCAGCGCACCTCGTGTCGGTGGAAAACGCTAAACCTGACTCGCTGTTTATGGTTGTGAATAAAAATTTTGGTTGACCAACATTTATGCTCTGATTTTCGTATTTATTTGACAACTTTACTGAAGCCCAGGCAGCCCAACGTTTATGTATTTAAATTTATTTTTGTGACAATGAGCCTCATTTCCAAGTTCCATGAATTACAGTATTTGAATATTTTGTTTCAACATGACGGGACCATCATAGTGTCGTGGACAAACTCTTTTGGTGTTGTGGCAGGAAGGACATTCAGCATTAACTGGGTGACTCCTGGGAAATAACTGGACAGCTGAAAGTAGCTTGTGGTGTCAGGATGGTGCTAAAGATTTTACCCCAGCAGCCAGGTTAACCTGTAACAGGAAAGACATGGGTGTAAATACAAATAGCAGTAATGATCTCATTAGGTTTAGTGGTGCATAATTGGAACAGAGCTATTGTCAGGACTACCACTGTTCCTGCTTCATTTCAAACAATCTGTTCAGGTAGTCTCAGGAGCTTTGAAGGAAAGGACTTTGTTTTGTGAAAAAATTTCACCTCCATCCATGAGGCTACTTCAATCCCAAAAACATCTTCACTAAACGTTAAAGTCCAGTTGCTTTCTTTCCAAGCTCCTGAGACTACTGTGATCTGGATGACTGATAACCTACACAGACATAAGATTATGTTCAGATTATTTACCACAAATAACCTGATATGAACTGAAAAGACATGTTAAGTTAGATTAGCACTTGGCTTGCCTCACTCATTAGATTTGTTGAGCCTGTTTTGAATGGCAAAAAGGTTAAATGACCTCATAGCCATCCTACTCTGACCTTTGTAAACGCCTAATAACACCGGTGAGCGGGATCTAAAGTGGCTCCGGTGTGCAGGGTGTGTGATCTCTTTCAGATCACTGAATGCTGTCCACACAGAACTTTGCCTTTAAACAGAGCTAAACGTGTTTTTTTTTTTCTTCAATCTTTCATCACACGGCTCCGAAGCTGTTACAGAGTTGTAGTTCAGTGTAAACAGAAGGGGGAGTTTTTGTTTCATCTTTATCACCTCTCAACCTGAGCTCATCTTATGCAATTAAAGGTGTTTATACTGATGACCCCAGCTCACACCTTTATGCAGTCAGATAAACAAATGGAGCAAAGCTCTTCCTGGTGACTCAGAAATGATTCAGTGACTGATCAAGTGTTTGAAGGACATTTGCAAGTTTTTACGGCTGCTGCTTTTGTAATAATTAAGCTATGGTTATGTTGATTAGTTTAATTATTATTCAATAAATGTTAATCATGTGAAACAAAGATCCTCAGTGCTTACTAGGTTTAAGTGATACTTTAAAGCTGAACTTTCACATAAGCAAAACATTTTTTTACTGTTAAAGACGTGGAAAAAGGAAATGTTCATGCTGGGTGATCTTTTGCCTTTAAAGTGAGCTGCCTGAGTAACGGAAAACAGTTTATTAGGTACACATAAATAGTTGGATCTCATTTTGTCTCCAGAACTGGAGCTGGAAGCATTCCTCTGACATTTTGGTCCGTGCTGATATGATAGTGTCAAACAGTTGCTGCAGATTCGTCCATGATGCAACTCTTGTGTTGGATTGAGGTCTAGTGACTGTGACACGATTTGAGCTTTCTGACATCGAGTGTTATCCTGCTGGAGACAGCCAGGTGGACACACTGTGGTCATATAGGGATAGACATGGTCAGCAACACTACTCAGGTGCTATAAAGAGTGATCACTTGGTACTAAGGGGTCCATCACACCATCAAAAGCCAGAAGTGTGGATATAAGGCATGGTGGATGCATGCTTTCAGGTCGTTTAAGCAAAATTGACCCTACTATCTGGATGTTGCAGCAGAAATCAAGACACAGCAGGCTAAGAAAAAGGTTTCCAGTCGTCTATCATCCAATTTTAGTCACGCTGTTTGAGTTTCATTTGAATTATTGTTGCCTTCTGGAAGCAGTCTGGCCATTCGCCTTTGACATCAAAAAGGCATTTTCACCCAGGGAACTGCTGCTCACTGGGTATTTTCTTTCGAAAACTTGGAGGTGGTTGAGGAAAATTGCCAGTAGATTAGCACTCAATAAACCACGCCTCCTTTACAGTCACTTAAATCACCTTTCTTCCAAATTGTGATGCTCAGTTTGAACTTCGTGAGGTCGGCCATGTTTACATGCCAAAATGGACTGAGAATTAGCCATGTGATTGGCTGATTAGATGAGCAGTTGAACAGGTATACCTAATACAGTGGCCCCTGAAATATACATTCCTCCACAAATGGTGGATCCCATCATTCCAGCTGTTCTTAGAGGAGCACTGTAATAAGTGAAGCGATGTTAGTGCGGAAAAATGTTGATCTCTTATTATTCTTAGTCAATGCTAAAAATTTAAATCAGCTGTAGGCATCAAACCATATTTATTAGCATTAGACAGTCATCACAGAGCCATAACGATCAATCCTCAAAAGTGCCATTTGTTCAAACAGTCTAATTAATTGTTAGCACTAATTATTGCTAAATTAGTCAGGGGTTAATTTATACAATGGGAAGACCTCAAATAATTATTGTTACACAAAAACTATAAAACACCTTCATCAGAACAACAATTTTGATAATAGAGCGCTGTTAGCGTGTCAGTACGTGCTACCAATCAAGACAAGGCTTCAGAGGTTAAATATGTTGCATTAGGTAAGTATTCCTGAAACACAATTAGAAAATAACAGTATCTTCCTATACAGTTTTGACTGCAAATTTTTAATCAAGTAATTCATAAATCAACTTTTGAGTTCACACAGATTTAAAGTCATTAAATGGAAGAAATCGTTACA